TATAGCCACCTAAAAACTACATCTAAAGATGTAGTTTATACCATTGTGCAGATAACTCTGGAACAAAACTTGGCCCAGCTCATCTTTAAACAAAGCAAAGGAAGTGAGGAAAAAGCTATTGGCAAAACTTAAAGAATTTGTAGTTTCTTCAAAGGGAGCTATGGGTGAATATCTATGTCTATGAGGTGGTTTGTGCTTTTAACATGCATTCATCATTGAAGTCTACACTTGCATTAGGAGATTTTATATTTTTGTCTTTTCTATTAGCATATATTAGTTGTGGGGGGGTATTGTGACATTTACATATGTACTTACAATGTATCTTAATTAGTTTCACCCCTCCATCATTCCCTTCTCCCCTTCATAGAACAATTTCAACAATTTCATTGTCAACTGTCATACATGTATACAAAGTACATTGACAATATTCTCTCTCCTTTACTCTATTTGCCCTCTTTGCTCCCTCTGGTACACACTCTGGGACAGGACTTATTTTACCTTCTTATCCTTCATTTTTTAAAATGTATGTTGATTGTTCAAAGGTGGTTTGCCTTGGTATTTCACACAGGTATATATTGTACTTTAAACAGGTTAACCTCCTCTATTACTTACCTTTTTTCTATCACCTTGTTCCCCTATTATTCAACAGCCTACAATGAAATTCTTTATACTCTCTTCCTACACAGATGCAATGTATTTCAATATTATTCCATCTCTCCCATTCCGTCTTCCTCTCCCAGATTTTAAAGCAAGGGATGGGAGATTTATTAACTAAATGTGAACCCACAAGCTTCACTTTTAACCACAGGATGTATTTTCTGTACAGACCCACTGGTTAACTCCTCACCTCTTACAGGTTTCTTTTTTAAAGCAGCAGCTGGATGAGATTGAAAATGGCTCACCTGAGATCAATCAATGGCAAAGCTGCAAGTATCACTGCACTACCTCACTAAGTGATTCTCAAAGCCAATATGAGGCTGTTAATAACAATCTCAAACACTTTTGCACTCCTCATAGGATTTTATATGTGTGACATGGAGTTCAAATCCTACCTAGGAAGTTTAATTTCTTACCTTGGGGGTAAAGAGTACAATGCAAGTTCTATAGAAAAAAGTATTAAAACGACAATTACCCATTTCATCAGCGAAGGTCAAAATATTTATGCCTCCCTAAGTCTCCTGAATTTAGTTACCTTATCATTTTGCTGCAGTGGTAAACCCTTTTCTAGCCCTAAATCTGTCCTCATTTCTTGATTTCCATCCCATGTGCAAAGCATTTATGAGAAAAACTTTTAAGATCCACTAAAATATAAGTCTAACCACTATTTCACCACAAAGGTAGAAAATGAACTCATTTTTAGGTAAAAATGTCATGATCACCATTCAGGTAGGTTCTATGAACACTGGCCATGTACTCAGCAGCAAAAACAGTGCTGGGTGCACATAAAAGGTGCTTAGTAAATATTGTAGAATGAATGACCCATAACAGACCATGTAGAGTAAAAGAGTAAAGAGGGAACATCCAAGAAGTTATCAAGCCAAGAACTGTCTTCCATACCTCTTGAGGTTACTGCCATTTAAAATGCAATCAAGCAAGTATATAGGTGAATGACTATATACATAAACACGTGGAGTGAAGATGATTTCATTTAGAATTCACTGAGCTTTCTAATGTGAAAACAATGTGTGACTGTGTGTGTATGGATTTGATGTACTGAAGGGGGTGAATGTTTACATAAAAGTTTAAAAGTTTCTTGTTTCACATAGAGTAATTCAGTAAAAGGTACTGTCAATTGAAGTGCCATCTGTTTCCAGGGTGTGCACCCTCAGCTCTAGATTCTTCATTGTACTTCCTACCTATCACTAAGTCAAACATAAAAATGCACAACTAAATAAATGACTTGTAGTAGAATTTTTCCTCTGGGTTTGAGTTTTTCCCTGTAACTTTTGAAAACAACACTTTGCCTAATGGTTTTTAGCCCAGCTTTTTGTCAGCCTCGTACCAATGCCTGCAATATAAATACTCGAAGTTGAACCTTGCTCACAAACACACTAACTTAGTAAGAAACTGGCCCACTTCCAGCTTTACTGTCTACGGCTATTACTCTTTATTTTTCCACTAGGCTACTTTGAAAAAGTAACCTACAAAAGCATGTCCCCTAACTCAATGGATTAGCACCAATACTCTCACCTAGTTCAATGGAGTTTGCACCAATACTCCAAGCAAATCAAGAGGTGTTTCATTTGCAGAATTATGGATGGCTGCAAGAATCTTTCTAGCCTTGGAGGAAAGCCAGCACCACACAGGAAGATGCAAGTGTCTGCTTCCAGTTCAGAGCTAAGTCCTCACAAAGGACTCTGACTTCAGAGCCTGGAAAGTGGATGAAGCACAGGTATGAGTGAAATGACCTTTGTTCCAGTTCACATACTAACTGTGTGAACTTGGGCAAGGTCTGTTAAACTCTAAGAACCTCAGTTTTCCCATAGTAATGGGAATTTCGGTGCTGACCTTCAGCAGATGCCATGGGAAGTAAAGTCTGCCTTGCAGAAACCTGACTGTGTTTCTTTCCTTTCCTTCTCTCCCTCAATCAGCAAGTCCTGTTGGATTTGTATTCATAATATATCCTAAGACAGGCCTGGCAGAATGGCTCAAGTGATAGAGTGCCTGCTTAGCATACATAGGTTCTGAGTTCAACTGCAAGTACCACCAAAAAAACAAACAAAAACACTATCAGCAAAATACATCCTAAATTCAACACATCTTTTTTACTTCATTCAGTGTCAGCCTTGGCTGAGACCCTTCTTTTAGTCACTCTCTCAGTGTAAAAGCCTACTAACCTTTCTCCCTTCTCATTCATGCCCCCAACACTATGTACCACAAAGAATCCTGGTTGAACACTTTTTTTTAATGGTACTGGAGTTTGAACTCAGATCCTACACTTGCTAGGCAGGTGCTCTCCCACTTGAGCCACTCCACTAGCCCTTTGCTTGTGTTGGGTATTTTAGGGTCTCACAAAGCATTTGCCTGGGCTGACATGAAACCTTGATTCTCCTTCTTAGTAGCTAGGATTACAGACACGAAGAGCCACCAGCACCTGGCCTGGGGTGAACATTTAAAAAAATAAGTGAAATAATGTCTTTCCACACTTTTAAAACTTCCAGTGTTTTCACATTTCATTCAGAATAAAGCCCACATTTGCTTCTGCAACTAACATGGCCCTTAATTATCTGGGTGCCTCCCACCTTCTGCCTTCCTCCTTCCACTCCCTACTTGCTCATCATCCTAAGGCCTGGACCTCTCCATCCAGATTTTTGCAGAACCAGTCCTCTCTGCATATAGGAGGATGGATGAGCCTTCCTTGATCAGTCAACCAGAACTCCCCAGGCCCACTCATCACTTTACATCATGAACTGCTTCACTCTCTCCTTAGCACTTACATTGTTCATTCATTGTGGAGAATTTACTATTTATCTTCCTCCCTAGAAAGAAAGCCACATGAGATCATGGATTTTGTTTTCCATATTTATCAGGATATACCTGATACCTAGAACTTCTTTGACACATGTCAGACACCCAAACAGTATTTACTGATGAATAAATGAATAAACAAATGAGGCAAGATTCAAAACACAACCAAAGATGGAAATAATAACCCTAAAAAGAGAAAGCATTCGTAAGCCACACGGAAGAATACAAACAGTGATCTGTAGTAGTAAAGTGCTAATACTATGAATAGAATTTCCATGTGTTAAAACAATTGGGTATTCTTTAGACTGAGGCTATTCTAGCACACTGGGTTCTTTATATAAGCAAACCAAAACTGAACTCAGAGTAAATGGTAAAGTGAAACTTAAGCTTAACCCATCAGAAACTGCCAAATGACCCTAATGCCTGTACCTAGAGAGTTTTTCCACTGGGAAGTACAAATAAGGCTATGGATCTACTTTGACCAATCAAACATTTTCTCTGCTGTCCTTCTGTATCCATCCTATTATGAAGGCCTCACTGCCATGTCCTTCATTGGAACCACAGACCACTTGTGGTCTGTAGCTGCCATCATTGCTCAAAGAAACTCTTGAAAATTATAATGTGCCACCAAAGGAATGTAAGTCAGGTTACAATAAAGGTACCTGTATACCCATGTTTATTGCAGCACTATTCACAGTAACTAAGCTTTAGAAACAGTCAAGATGCCCCACAACTGATGAATGGATTAAGAAAATGTGGTACATATATAGAATAGAATTTTGTTCATCCATAAAAAATGGAATTTTGTCATTTGCAGGACAAAAAATGAACAGAACTGGAGAACATCATCTGAAGTGACATTAACCAGGTTCAGAAAGCCAAAGGCTTCATGTTTTCTCTCATATGTGGAATACAGACCTAATATAAATACAGCAATATTATGAAATCAGCTTATACTAAGGGGAGGTCACATAACGAGAGAGGGAAGGTAAAAGAAGCAAGAAGGTGAATATGGTTGATGTTCTTCCTATACAAGAATGAATATAGAATTTTTAAACGTACTGAAATCACCATAAGAAGGGGACTAAGGTAGAAAGAAGAAAAATAGAGGCGAGGAACCAGTTTAGGTTATAATACATATATATACAGAAATGTCACAATGAAACTCCCTGTATAGCTTCCTGTTACCTGTGCTGTAATAAATTCATACCAAACACCAACAGCAGGGAAGAGAAGGGGTGTGGTGAGAACTCTCCTCTCCCAGAGTAGGGAAGGCACTGCCTTCTGATGCCCCTCACATGACAGCATACAGCAGGGCTTTCATTTGCCTCCTCCAGCTATCTTTCTCACCAGATCTAATATAGGCAAGGAAGGAAGGGGGGAGGAAAAGAAGGAAGAGAAAAGGAAGAAATAGATGGAGGGATGGAGGGCGGTCATAAGGAGCTGACTCTGCACTTTAATTCTCCAGGTATCTACTGCACTGGGCAATGCTGGACATGAAAAGGCACACAGCCAAAACCCCAGCCCAATACCTCATCAGGGACCACAGAGCTCTCGGAGACACCAGGAATCCACTGCTCTTGGCTTCAGGTGGCAGAGGGGAGTGGCAACCACTCCAAGCAACTTTGTGAGGGAACCGCTGTTTCCCGTTCTCCCGGTGAGAGTGGGCAGGTAATGAGCAGGGCCGGGGGCTCCCAGGCTGTGATGGGCTGTGCTGATGAATGATCCCATTGCTCCTAATTGTGCACAAAATTGAGGGAAAACAAAATCAAGCACAGTAACAAGGCTTGCAAATAAAAATCACCAGTACCCTGCCCTAACCCCCAAGTCCTGTCTCCATTCTCAAGTCTTTGAGCCCATTGTTTCTGGTATTGACCACTGGTTTTTTGTCTTTTTACCAGTTTTAGAATTTATCACATTAACTTCCTACTATTGAAGACTAGAATTCAGTCTATCTTAGGTTGGGACACACACACACACATACACATGCTTCCTCACCCCTCAGCTTCCAACTATATTCTTCTCATATTTGGTTGATGTAACATTCAGTGTTTACATTATTAAGATCTTGTTAAAATACTGTTCACCGGTGGGCCATCCAATGAACTCCAATCACATTTTTCTATCTGAATCCTGAGATATAATTCATCACTACCAGATGGGTGAAAATTTAAAAGTCAGATACTAGCAAATGATGTGTGAGACTCTGCAGCAAAGATTCTCACTTCTGCAACAGCTATTTCAGGAGCAATGACTCGGGATGTGATACAGTGACCATGCCTCTATATTTTGTCCTAGCCCGAGAGAAACCTTTGTGTGTTTGCACAAGAACACATGCATAAAACATTTTACTACTGCATAGGAAAATATGAGGAAACCATAACCTAAATTCCAAATCCAGAAGAATGGATAAATTGTGATAATTAATATCATGGAGTAGTTAAAAGGAACAAAATACAGCTACATACATCAATATTGATGTTTCTCAAAAGCCCAATATTAAATGCAAAGAAAAGACAAGTGGTAACATTTACATCAAGTTTGAGAATGCACAAAATAATGATACCTGACATTGATGGTATATATACATGAAGTAATGCTAAAAAAACAAAATTAGAAATGGCAAGTGCCAAATTCAGTATTGTAGCTATCTCTAAGAGACAGAGAAAGAGACTGTAGTTGGGGAACGTAATTTTTTACGTGTTAAAAATTATGTCTTACTTTAAAAAAAAAAGAGAGAAGACAAAGGAAGTTAACTTTCAGCAACTGATCCGATCTTTCCCTTACAATGGTTCTTCCTAAAGAGTGATAGTGAATAAAAGGAAATCCTACTTCCTTATGTGCCCCAATCTTAATGTTTAGGGATAAATTACTCTTCTGATAACAAAGCACTTCTAACACCTATTTCAAGGACTGCTTCTTCCCTGCTGCCTGAGTCACATGAGGAAAGGTCTTGAGAACCACCACCAGGTACTAAGATGTTCATTCTAAATGAGCAAATACAGAGAGTGTAGTGTTTGTGCAGTTTTGTGTGTGTGTGTGTCTGGGAGCACAACTTTGTGAAATTCTCAAAGGGGTTTATGATCTGAAGCCAGAGGTAGAAGGATTGTGGGTGCAAGGCTGGTCTAGGCAAAAACACAAGACCCTGAAAAATAAAGTAAAAGTGAAAGGCCTGGGGATGGGCCGGGGAGGAGTGGCTCAAGTGGAAAAGCACTTGCCTAGCAAGTTTGAGGCCCAAGTTCAATCCCCAATACTGCCCAAAAAATGGGGGCTCCAACCTTCAAAAACGCTCAGAACGCTAAACTGGTATAAAAGCCTCAAGGTGCCTGAGCAGCAGACATTTGTGTACTCTCTCAAGTCACTGTCCTGTGTTCCTTCCATAGGAACATTGGTGCTCAAGGGTAATTTCACAGCTCTAGGGCCACACAGATGAGGATCCGAATCCTGGCTGCAGTTGGCCTGAGTGAGTGTGGTGAGGTCTTTCTTTCCTGAGCCTGTCTTCTCTGTTGTGCAGGTGACAGTTGTTGTGAGCAAATGGCAGACAAAGTACCGAGCACACAGCAGGTACTCAAGGGAAATTAACCATTTTGGGCCAAGCATCCCTGTTAGATGCTCTCAGTTCCTGCCTACCATTTTTCACAAGTGTAATCAATTACTCGTGTGGCTGCTTCTGTGAGTCTTCTACAACACCTCTATGCTCTCTAAATGAAGAAACTTCATCTGTCTTGTTCTTGTCCAGACACAGAATAAGCTATGGGGTGGATAAAAGGATGAAGGAAGAATGAACACCTCCACTTTTATAGTGCTGTTGGTTGTGAAGGCTATAATTTTCTAAAAAATGAGCTGTGTGACTTCTAAACTACCATCAGCAGTATTATTATTCATTCCATGGAACTTCTGACAGTTTAGTGTGGCGAAGGTTAAGAAAGACACTAAAGAATTAAAAGACTGCTATCCCCCTTGAGAAAAGCCTGGTTCAACAGTGGCAGGAAGAGGAGAGAGAAAGAAAGGTAGACAACAGTGGAATGCAGAGTCCCAAGATCCAAGGAGATGACATTGAAACAGCACTGGGCTGGACCACCTTGAGGGCACATCTGCTTGAGCCACACCACCAGCCCTTAAGGGTGCATCTGGAGTCAGTGAGGCAAAGAGGAAAGACATTGGGATTTGTAGGTTGTTCTCTAAAAGTAAGACATGCAATGTAATTACTTCCATGGATTGAGAGGACCCAAGAAAAGGCATCCCCATATAAGCCAAGGGATGTCCTCTGACTGACGGGGTTCTTTTCACCTGAGCTTGACTCAAAGTGATAACTGGGCCCTTTCCAGTGAGATTTCTAGATATCCCAAAGCATTAAACTAGGCCTGGAATGTAGCTCAGTGGTAGAGCACTTGGCTAGAATGTGCAAGGCCCTGGGTTGGATCCCAGCACCAAAAAAAGAAAGTACAAAAAAATCCCAAAGTATTAAATTATATTTAAATTCTCTCTAAGTGTCACTCTCTCAAGGCAGAAAGGTGATCAGTACTTAATGACACATTCCAGATTGTTGCCACTCAATAGCTCTGCTTAGATCTTTATGTCAAGAAGCATAAAGAGATAGGAGATGGGATAAAAAAGATAGGATTTTTTTAAAAAATAAAATTCTTCATTTGACAAGGCAGGACAATACATCAGCCACATTATTAAAAAGCTCAAAAGTAAGGACCTTATAATTACCAAAAAACAGGGTCTGATGCAAAATTATTAGTAATTATGGATTTGATAGAAGAAAATTATAGTATGTGCTTAAATTTTTAACATGCCTTATTCTTACATCTATCACCCACAGAATAAAACAAACATGTCTTATATTTGTTAGATGAAAATGGGCTGCTAAATACTGGCTTTTTCTTTAACTTGGGAAGAACATGAAGTACTCATGTGTGGCTTAGACTGGCTGCTTGTGAAATTCCAATAGGCACTTCCTAAACTCTTAGATAACATCATGACTAGAACAAGCAAGTGGGCTTCAAATCAGCCTTGCTCTTTGATGGGTAACACTCATTTGAATTCAGAGATTCATGTAAGCTGTTAATAAATGTTACAATTTGCAACCACTTCTCTGTGTGGATTAAGATTTTCTCAGCAGTATGCAACCAAAACAACCCAGCAGCATAAACTCACAGATAATATACCTTTTAATTCCAAATTTGGAGCTCTTCAACTTTATAGTTCTTATTGAATGTGAAGATAAGTATAAAGCACTTATCCTAATGAAACAAGTCTTGCTTATTTTATTACAGCCTAAGGTGAGATTATTTTGTAACTAAGCATATACTTCTATTTATTTTCAGTGAAAACTTGGAAACTATCATTTTCAGTAATTCTTTACTGCCTAGCCAGTGCTTGACATAAAAACCTGAAAATGACTTACGACTTCTCTTGCTTGCTGGAGAGGGAAAAGAGGTCATAAACCAAGCAAACTCCAAACACTGTGATGCCCGTCTCTTTCACCAGCATTGCACAGGTCCCCAGAAGCAAACTGAGCAGCAAGAAGAACGGAGAAGCCGTGGGAGGGAAACACTCCCCAGCACAACACCGACCCAGGCTCCTGGAAAACATGTTCGACATTCTCTTAACCCAAGAAATGTGGTCACTAAAAAATATTACCTCTTAAATATATAATCTTAGTATCAGTTTTGTTGTATCCTCAGCAATTAAATAGGTGAGCAAAGATTTATTCAAGGGCATTCATCATGTAATTATTTAAAACTGCTAAGTTGGAAAAATGCCTAATACTAAATTTGGTACTTAAATTATACTATATGCAAATGATGGTAAAATAAGATATGTAACCAATGATCACTAAAAAGCCATTTAAAATGCTACCAAAGAAATATATTTAGTGAGATGGAAAGACATTTAAGTGAACATATTTTAAGTGAACAATACAGGTTAGTAAACAATATGCATAAACTCTGGAGCCAGATTTCCTAGTTCAAATCCTAGCTCTACAGTTAAGGAACAGGGTAACAGAGCAAGAGATGGGAATGAATGCAGTGTTGTAGGAATGTGTTGAATAAATACCTTATTACATGTGGAGCTTTTAGCATCATCATCAAAGCGAAGCACTTTTATATGCCTCTGCACACAAAATAGCCAGGGAAGATATGACAAAATATGATAGCATTTCTGTCTGTGATCAAAAGAAAAGGTTTTTCTTCTTTTCTTTTGACTAATCTACATTTTTACATTTATTTTCCATGAACATGTATTGGGTAATGTTTACATTTCCTCAGTTTAATTTCAAACAGAAATTTTCAAAATCTCTGCAGTGCTATTTTCTACCTTACAAAATAGAATTGGTCACAAAAAAAGCACTGCCTCTTCAGCAGGTGCCATACCCATTGCCTCCTACTCCTTTGAAGTGAAAGTCAATGCTTCCACACTTGTGATATCATCTCCTCCCTAGAAAAAATCCATAAGATTATTTATGCAAAATTCACAGTAGATACGCATTTTTCTCTGCAGTTGGTCTACAGATTTAATGTCAAAGGTGAGCAGGGAGTGCTCGCCCAACCTGTATAATGTGGCCGTGACTAGAGAGGTGTGGACATGCTGCAAGGCTAATCAACCACACAGAAAAGGCCAAGGAAAGAGGTTTAAGTTCAAGTGATTGCTTCTGGTCTACACCAGAGTAAACGGGAAATGATTAATGGTTAAATTTGAGCTTAAGTTTTAAGATTTCACAAAAAGGTTTGTATGATTATGAATGCAGTGAGAGATCACAAAGCCAGCACCTAAAGACAAATACTGTGCTAAGAAAAGGGAACACTATTTAAAACAAACTTCATGGGACTTAATTCTTTTCATTCATGATCCAAGTTCTAAATTGATTTGCAACAGCATTTCTCAGTCTCAGCTACCAGCATTTTTCTGCCACATAATTCTTTGTCATAGGGCCTGCCCCATGCATTGTAGGGTGTTTATTTAGCACCATTCTTGGCCTCTACCCAGCAGATGCCAGTAGCACCTCTTCAGTGGTGACAACCAAAAATACCTCTAGACATGGCCAAGTGTTCCTAGAGGGAATGCGGGATTGGTGGCTAGGTGTGATGGTTAATCTTGACTGTCAACTTGATTGGATTAGGAAACACCTAGAAGATGAGTAAAAAGTACCTTTGGGTGTGTCTATGAGGGCTCTAGCCCTGGTGATTTCATTGTAAAGGATTAGTAATCATAAAATCACAATCAAAATGGATTAATGTCATCAAATGGATTAATATCATAAAAATCATAAGGATTAATCCATTGATGGATTCATAACATGATAGCATGAATGAGAGGTAGTAAGAGGTAGGAGGTGGGACATACTTGAAGTAGGCCACTGGGAGCCTGTCCTTGGAGACACTATATCTTGCTTTGGCCCTTTTCTGCTACTGCTTTCCTCTCCTTCCTGTCACCCATGAGGTGAACAGCCTCCTCCTCCACATGGTCCTGATGACACGATGCTCTGCCCAAGCACTCAGGACCAAATGGACACAGACTGAACCCTCTGAAACCATGAGTCAAAATAAGTCTATTAAGTTGTTTTCTAAGGTATTTTGGTCACAGCTATGCAAAAGTAACTACTATACAACAGGAGGGAAGAAGGAAAGTATTCCTAATTAAGAACTGTACGAAGTGCTTAAACTGCTTTTGCTAAAAAACACTGACTCCTTACTCAGGCCCATGAATTAACTAAAACCAGGAAAAAAGCATGGCATCCCTGCCTCCATTTTGTATCTGTCTTTGCTTTAAGCCATTCTCTTTGCAGTCACTGTGCAATCATCTTGGATTTCAGAAATGATCAATGACATCTTCATGACAAGGGACCTAACTATCAACACTAAGGCCTCTCAGGATAGACTATCTACCTGACTCTAGAAAACAACTCCCAGAACCTCTCCCAGAACGAGGACTGACATAATGACAAACAAGGTCACACCTGTGACAGGAACTGTTTAACTATGTACACCTGTTGTCTCTTGCTCCCCAGTTCCTTGTCTACTTAAACCTATAGCTCATGTCTATAACCCCAAAGACAGCTGAAGATGGGCTGAGTGCTTACTCTGACTCTTCCCATGGCATGACCCAAGCAGTGTAATAAACCTCCTTTCTCTGCCTTCACCATGCCTCTTTATTTGGCGTATAGGGGCATTTGGCCAGACCTGGCCTGTGGAATTCCAGGGGTTTGAACTTTGGGTCCAAAACTCCAATTTCAGAAACACTGGTTTGGAACAGTGTCCCTCAATCATTGGGCTTTGTAAAATTATAGATCAATGAACTTACCCAAACATCAAGATTCACAAATCCTTAGCCAGAATCATGAAATAGCATAACATGGTTGGCCTGCCTTCTTTTCTGAGCCATGTTCTGAGCCCTCTGCCCCTATTCACACTCTCTTAACCCACCCTTTCCCTATGCAAATATGTCACAATCAGGTGAAAATCTGAACACTTTAGGAATATAAGCACAATGTAATAGAAAATATTTTCTGTATTTTGATGAAAGGATTAAGATTGGAAAACTACAGTTGAAAATGCTACTTTTATTTAGCCTTGTTATGTTAAGCTCCCAGGTATTTTGGTAGGAATGATAAAAAGAAAAAAATTGGGACCAAAACAAGGAGAAATTAAGTCAAAGACAAATAGAACACAGCACTGTGTGCACCAGAGCACTGTATTTTGGCTCAAAGCTGAGATTTCAAATCCCATTCTCAGTCAGACATACAAGAACAAGGAACCAAGAAGCAAGACCCTGGAGTCCTAAGTAACCTTTCTTTGGATATGGAGTTTAAATTCAGGACTTCATGCTTACTAGGCAGATGTACTACCATTTGAGCCACACTGCCAGCCTTTTTGCTTTGGTTGTTGTTATTATTATCATCATTACTATTGGGCAATACTGGGGTTTGAACTTAGGGCCTGTGCTTGCTAAGGCAGATGCTCTACTGCTTAAGCCATGCCATCTGCCCATTTTGCTTATTTTTTAGACAGGGTCTCACTTTATGACCAAGTCAGTTGGGAAAGGATCATCCTATTTGTGCTTCTCCACATAGATGGGATGACAGGCATGATGCCATTGTACCCAGCCATTGATGAGATGACAAAGGTGGGGGTGCATCCTCAAGAATATTTTGCTTGGGCTGGCCTCAACCGCAGTCCTCCCAATGACTGTCTCACAAGTAGCTGGGATTACAGACTTGAGCCAACATGCCCCAGCAGAAAGTTGTCTTTTTAAAATGGTATGATATGATTCAGAATGGGGCCAAAAAAGAAAACAGTCCAGTACTGGGGAAAAACAAAGTTCCTATCCCTGAAGCTTACTAAGCACATCACAGTCCAGAGCCTTATCCCTCTTTCAAGCAGAGGCTCAGTCTACACGGTATAGCATGGCTGTAATCACAGAAGTTCTCACTTAAGCCATACTTACCTATTGTAGGAGAGAAAGGCCAGCAGAAACAGAAGACATGCTAACACATCAGCTCTGCCAACAATCCCAGCCACCTGGAAAATGTAACATAATGAGAAATCAAAAACTCAGAAGTTACTGTCAGAAAATCTTATGGAAATGTTTTTCTTTTAGATAAACGAAAGGTATAATGAAGTTTGTCAAATTCTGTCATATGGAATAGCCACCTGTGATTACCTCTGATTAGCATATGTTTAACAATAAGCTTATAGAAGGAAAAAAGCAAAAGGAGAAGTAATCATAGTATCAAAGTTTATTCATTTATTAAAAAAAAATCTTTTGAGGGCTGGAGGTTAGCTCAGAGGTAGAGCACTTGCCTAGCCTGTGCAAGGCCCTGGGTTTGATCTCTAGCACTCGAAAAAAAAATCGTCTGAGCAAAAATGAGTGTCAGACACTGGACTAGTATGTAAGAACAGAGAATATTTATGGAGTAGAGGAAAAAATAAGGCAAGGAATCAATACTTTTGACAGTAATTAAACTCGTGTTTGCTACCTAAGAATATATCATGCAAGTGTTCATGTGCACTGCATCTGTGTCTAAAGGGACGGAATTTCTAAGCTCTATCACTGGAAAGGCTTTCGAGCAAGATGCCCTGGTAGCACAGAGCCACCATGGCGTTAACCATAAGCCATTCCCTCCACTACAGATAACACCCGCTCCTCAAAAAGGGGGATGCATCTAGGGTTAGATTATCCTCTCGTGTCAGAAAGTTAAAAAAAAAGTGTTCAAAAAGTGATAGTCAGAAGGACAGAGAAGTCAAAGACAAGGAGCTACCACTGACTGAATGTCAGAAAACTTGTATATCAAAATAAATGATGACAATATAAACCATTAAAAAATAGAAGTACATGAGTCCATATAGATAATGTATGGATGATGAATGAATGGATACATAGACAAGTATACACATACACCCAGCAAGCAAGTGAATGGTAAAAGAGAGCTTTTGCTTCTTTAAGGAACTAATTAATGCAAGTGAGGGGAGGAGGGGAGTTGGAAAATAACTACTTTGCCTCCAGAAAAGTACAGGTTGGATACAGCAAGAAACATTAAAAATACCAATAGGGTTTGGGGGTATAGCTCAGTGGTAGAGCACTTGCCTAGCATGCTGGAAACCTGGATTCATCCCCAATGCCACAAAACAAATAAAGAAACAAAAAAAAAATAGGTGCTAAATATAGGGTATGAAAGTTTTTTAAGGTACTGGTATCTGCATGGCTTCAAAGTATTTCCTCACCAGCTACTTATTCTCTAGGAAAATAAAAACAATAATTATACTATGGAGAAAATATGTTGCACTGTATTACATCTTCACTGGAGAATCAAAATTAAATTTTCATCCCTGAAAAACATAATCATGTATGCATTATTCCAGCCAAGGATATATAACTGAAGTATAACCATCAAAAAAATCAGACAAACTCAAGATAAGGAACATTCTATTTTTAAAAAGAGATGAATAGACTATTAAACATAAATATATATTTAATATTATTTTATAGCATATTTTAGTACATTTCAATATATTATGATTCCTAATTATATTACAATTTATAATCTGTAACATTATATGTATTTTTATATGCTATTGGCATATTATATATATGCATATATATATGCATACATTGTATATCTACATATAAGATTAAAATTTACAATTTATATGCATTCATATGTACTTATATATAATATATACTGCATATTATTTTTATTTACATGTTACAAATTTTAATATACTATTACTCTAAGCCATGATACGCATTATATAAAATATATAATATATTCATAAATTTATATACTGCAATCTAATACATATATTTAAAACATTTTAAACTATATACATTTTAAAATAAATTCTAAATCACATTAAAATCTTTCAATTATATTATAGAAAGACAGTGAGACTAACTAGTCACTGTTACAAACTAAAGGACACTAAAAGAGAAATCATGAATAATGCTCTCAGTTTGAGGAAATATGCACCTAAATCATTAATGTGTAAAAGGGCAGGAGTTATACAACCTACTCCAAGTGCTTCAGAAAACAAACAATATTTTTATATAGAGGGAGAAAGAAGAATGATATAGCCAATGTGCAAAATGCTAAAAAGCACTGAATCTAGACAAAGAACATACAGCTAACCCGTAATTTTTGTTTGAAATTATTTTTAAATGTGTTACTTCAGAAGGAGACTGAAACAGAAGATCAGTGGGAGACAGGGGACTCTTCATAAATCTTTGTATTATTGTACTGCATAAGATGTGTGTGCATTTCTCTTCATTTTTTAAAAACCAAGAAAAATAATGTAAAGGAAAATATGCTATAGTTTTTTTAAATGCTTCCAAGAAAAGGTCCCAAAGATTGGGATGAGTAATTCACAAGGGCAATGAGTAAGGTGACATTTCAGGTGCAGGAAACATCACACAATTCAGAAAGGACCTGAGGTCCACAGTTGTTGGAGAATTGATCAACAATAACAAGAAACAGAGCCCTGAATGACCTCATGTAATCAGCAGCCTTGGCAGTCATAATGGAGAGGCAAAGTCACACGCATAGAGTAGGTCAACCACAGCTTCAGAACAGACTTCACCCATCTGACTGAGACTCCATTTTGGGATCTTTCTGAGATTTGGTTTTCTCTTTAATTGGTATGATGCACTCTACCTCAGATGATTGTTATCACTAACCAGATGACATGTGTAACACACCAGACTGATGAATGTTGGTGCTGTCCTGTCCTTTTCCTTTCAGATCATGGGGGTGGAACTCTTAACACTGACATGGGTTTTCCTATATAGCTTTACAGAATCTTCTCACTTGAAAATTTACATAGATGATATCTTAAATTAACTTTATTAAGTAGCCTTATGCATCTATTAGTTAAAAATCTAAAGTAATTCAATGATAGACACACATACAGACTGACAGCAAGTCACACTGAGAAGAAATCTAGTCTAGTCTGGACAAGGCCAAAGCATGGCACTGCCAGCACAGAGCTGACAGTTACTGCCTGATGTGGCCGCAAGGACCACACACTGATCGTTGATTTATTAATTGATAAGGAACTTGAGTGCCAAATCAGGAAGACTGCAGGACTCAACAGAGCTAGGCAATAACAATGTGGTATCCCCAAAGGGTCAAGGCCCATCTCAGAATCAGTCTGTAAAGCAACAATGTGCGCAAGTCATGTGTCAAGCCCCGATGTGATCATCCAGCATTCAGCTCAGCAACAGTATAGAAGGTTAAACAGAGAGCCCAGTAAGCCTGCAGTAAGGGGGGAGGAGGGACACTCATTACAGCACAACTGATGCACCCAATGGCAAGACTAGCAAGCTGGTGTTTGGCATAGCAAGTTGGAGTAAGGAATCACAAGTGAGGGGAGCATAACTAATGTGTGAAGGGCATCCTGGAACACTGCTTGCCAATCTGCAGCCAATCTGGGAGCAGTAGCTGAACATGCCAGCTGAATGTACCAAGACATAAAGAATGTACCGAGCAGGACATGATGGCACACTAATCCCAGCCCACAGCAGGATAAGGCAGAAAAACCATGAGCTCAAGACCAGCCTGGGCTATGTAGTGAGACCTGGTCTCAAAAAAAACAAACAAACAAACAAAAAAACCCACAAAAATGTAGTGCCCCTTCAAGCAGGAGCCTAGAGAGGGTGTTGAAATGTTGGTGGTAATCACTCTAGAAAAAAATTTGGAGGCTTCTTAAAAATCTAAAGATAGATCTGCCATTTGATCCAGAAATCTCACTTCTAGGGATATACTGAAAGAAATGTAACACAGGCTTCTCCGAAGGCACCTGCACACCCATATTTACTACTCACAATAGCCAAGTTATGGAAACAGCCAAGATGCCCCACTACTGACCAATGGATCAAGAATATGTGGTATTTATACATAATGGAAATTTACTCAGCCATGAAGAAGAATGAAATCCTATCATTCGCAAGTTAAGTGGATGGAACTAGAGAACATTATTCTGAGTGAGGTTAGCCAGGCTCAGAAGACCAAAAATCATGTTCTCTCTCATATGCAGACTTTAGATCTAGGGCAAATACAGTAATGTTGTTGGACTTGGGTCACATGACAAGGGGAGAGCACATACTGGAGGAATGGGGATAGGTAGGAAACCCAAAACATGAAAGTGTTTGATGTCCCACTGCAGAGGAACTAATACAGAAACCTTAAAGTGACAGAGGTCAACACGAGCAGGGGATCAGGGACCAGTGTAAAAGAGATGAATGGGTTGTAACACATTTGTACATGGAAGCAAAGCTAGGAATCTCTCTGCATAGCCACCCTGAACTAAACCAGCAAAAACGCTTTGTCTTTCTTATTATGCTTATGTCCTCTCTTCAACAAAATTAGAGGTAAGGGCAGAACAGGTTTCACCTGGAAGCGAGGGGTTGGGGGAGAAATGACACAAACAATGGAGACACATGTGAATAAATGAATAAAAAAAAAACTTTAGGAAACACAAATAAATAGAAGAAAAAAATTTAAGACTGTAAGTCAGTGGCAAGCCATTCATATACATATTAACGATATTCCCTCAACTTATACACTATTGCCATGAGTCTTCCAATAACATATATATTTATTATAATTTAATATATTATATAATTTATTATATTAAAATGTTTATGTCTATTAACAAAAGAAAGAAAGAAAGAAAGAAAGGAAGGAAGGAAGAAAGGAAGAAAGAAAAAGAAATGTTGGTGCTAACACTAATAGGTTCCCTTGCCAGCCTAAACCATAGAATACCCACTCCATGCCCCTGCTAAACTGGAGTTTTTGGAGCAAAGGGTGAGGTGTCTAAAACAAGGGGTCTGCCCTCAACTACTTTATGGTTAGAGCAGCCATTTCCTGTGATTCACTTAGTTGATAACAGTGTTCAGTAATTGTGTATTTTACTCTGGTTAACAAGATTTTCCAAGTGTGTTCTCTTTGCCACTGGAGGGGTCCACCTGCCTCAAGGACTTCAGCCTCTCTGATGGAGTCAGAAGAAGGTATTAAGTATGACACCCGGAAACCACAAGCATCACAAGAGAAGAAATCAGGGTCAGGAGAGCCTGAAGGGATTAATTTTGACTGTAGGATCCAGGAAAGCTTTATGAAGGGCTGTCTTTGCAATCTGAGATTTAAAAGATAGAGAAGATTTGAGAAAGCTCGTGGCTAGGGACTGTGAAACCTAAGCCAGGAAGGGAACAAAAATGCACTCCAGTTAGAGCACAGAAGAGCAGTAAGGACAATATAAGGAGTCTTCTGGAAGAGAAGGCATAAAGTGATGGGGAGCTTGGAGTTAATGAGAAGAGGGAGGCAAAGGGAAGCAGACATGGAATGTTAAGTTGGCCCACTGGACTTGATGCTACAACAATGTCAGCTGAATTGTAGTGCTAGAGGGCTCAAGGGAGTGACTCAAGTAGTAGGAGGTCCTGAGTTCAAATCCCAGTACCACACACACACACAAAGAAATAGTGAATTGTAGTGTTAGGAGTCCAGGAAGCAATTGGCCAATTCATGGTAAGTGAAAAATAGATGCAAATGGATAGCATGTATTTTAGCCTCAAGCTGCAGGTCTCCATCAGCAAGGGAGTAGCTGAGATGTGGGAACTGTAGTCGCTAACAAATGTTAAAACACTGAAAAAACATCAGTGAACATAACTGGATAGAAGTCAAAACAGGCTGAGTAATCCTTATCCAAAATGCTTGGGACCAGTTTGAGTTTTTTCAGATTTTTGGAGTACATAATGAGATATCTTGGGGAGGGGACTCAAGTCTAAACAAAAAAAATCATCTATATTTCTATATATACCTTACAAACACAGCCTGAAGGTAATTTTATGTACTGTTTTTAGTGTGCTTGTGTTTTGACCATGACCTGTCACATAAGGTCATGTGTAGAATGTCCACTTGTAATGTCATATCTACACAAATTTTGTAGCATTTTGGACTTTCAGACTAGAGATATTCAACCTGCAATAAACATGCAGCTCTCCTAGCAAGGCTAACAGAACCACATGTGGAAATTGCTTATTAAGACTTAATTTGCTCTCAAAATGTGTTACTTTTGAAATCCCACTCAGGATTTATATAAAGTATACAATTTTATAGAGTTATTGATATTATTTTAGCTGCAAGAATGACTTCCATTAGCATCAGACAGGACCAGGAATGTATACTTAACATGTGGCAACAACTATAAGCCCGAACATAACTAATTTTTTTTCTACATCCTCCTGTCCCTAATCTGGAAACACTGCCTTTATCTTCAAACTCAGTGTGTCAGTTTTTCCTGGTCTTGCTTTCAACTTGACACTCCTTCAAACTAGTAATGACTCTATGGTGATGAAGTCTTACTTTTCATAGAATTAAAATAATTTTTTCTCTTTTTCCAATTTCTTTGCTTCTTCTCATGATTCAGGATTCAGAAAACCATAAAAATTTCCTAAGAAATCCAGTGTCTGGAAACCCTCCCTAAGAAGCCCTTAAATGAGGGAAGGCTGGGTCTGCCTAAGCTATTACTGAACAGCTGTAGAGTGGCTGTTCTACCATCACTGTGTTACAGGCATTCTAATACTTGTTGAAAGACTGAGCAAATTAATGCATTTGTTACTACCAACTTAAATTGGAAGTAAAGCTTCCCTCCTCTAGCGCTGTTACAACATATTAATTTTTCTTGTATCTATTTGTATCTTGCTTTGGTTTTCTATGAGCTTGTGAGCAAGCTACGGGAGGGACCCCACTATCCACCCACATATCCCCCTGGGACCTAGTAGAATGTGATAAACCAAGTATGCTCTCACCACCTATTTGTTAATTAAATAATTAATAAAGCAAGCATCTAACCATATCAACATGTCTATACATACTTAAATTGGTATGTTTTAACCAAGACCCACCTCAAAAGTTTAAATTGTGCATCCTTCCTGAGATAACTTATTGTCCCAGTTTTATTGTTGTTTAACAAAGGAGAGATACTTCCTAGGAACTCTCTCCCTCATCACACCGCCATCTTTTATGTATGCCAACATCTTAATAATTTATATCTATACAGCACATCTCTTTTTCTATTTCTCTGTCTTCCTCCTTAGAAACCTGAGCTGAAATCTATAATTAAATAGCAGTCTATTTTACTTTGCAGTGTAAATTGTTTGGAAGGTCAAATTTCTTTGCCTCCTCCTTACACCTCCCTCTAGCAAATATAAATACCTTCTTCTCTAAATAAATGCCCAGCTTTCAGACTTCTTTGCCCCTTTAATTATGTTACCACAGATTTTTTTTTTTATTAGCACAAAAGTCTATTGCAACCCATTTTCAAAGGTCATTTTGCTAATGGGATTTGCTTCTTTCTTAGAAAAATTCTATCAGCTGTATCATGCCCAAGTTGCCTGTGTTTTATGCATCCCCTCTTTGCAACCATCAATTTAAAACTGTTCTTGGTCCACTCTCTAAGTACAGATTTTCAACTGTACCTTAAAAATCATGTTAGAAATATAATATTGTTTATGGTGTTAGATTAAAGCTGGCCTCTGACGCAGCACCACATACTCTATAGCCAGAAGTAACAATCATTATTTTTCGTCATGTTATATCCTAAAAGAACATTAAACTTAAGCATCTCTCTCATCTATTTAAGTTCTTATCTAAAATTTATCATCATAATTTTAAATACTTGAAAGGATTCAACTTCCCATTTACTATAAATACTGTATTCAAAAATATGGCCATAATAGTACGTTTTTTTGGCAACACTGGGGCTTGAACTCAGGGCCTCATGCTTGTGAGGCAGGCACTCTACCACTTGAGTCACTCAGCCAGCCCTGTTTTTTTTTGTTGTTGTTTTTGTTTTTGTTTTTTAGAGTGAGAGAGAGTCTTGTGAACTATTTGCCCAGGGCTGGCTCCGAACCATGACCCTCCTGATTGATTTCTGCCTCCTGAGTAGATAAGATTACAGGTGCGAGCCACCAACACCTGGTTATATTACTATTTTAAATGTATCCAGTTGAATCTGAACTCCACAGCAACTTGAAACACCTCATCTTCCATTTGCACAATCACAAACAAGCACCTCTTTAAATGGTAGACATTTTTTTACCTCCTCTCTCCTTGAATTCCTACTTCCATTTTACTTCCCTTCAGCATTTTTCCTTAATGTATTATTTAATTTTGTTTAAACATCATTTATTTGTTATCTTATCTCCCTGGAATGAAAATGCACATATATACATATCATGTATGTGTTTGCTCGGGATGGGTTCCAGAGCTTCGCACATGCTAGGCAAGTGCCCTACCATTAAATTACAATTCTTTTAATTTCCCATGACCGTAAGCCTCTAAGTGTAAATTTTTTTGTACTGCTATTTCAATTAATTCAGAATTATTCAATCCATCATAATAAAAGTAGTATAAAGATAACTTTTAAACATAAAAGGTTACATATTAATAATATAAAGAAACTAGCTGGTTTCTTTTCACATTCAGTTACCTTGCCTGAATCTTATATTTTGTTAGCCAGCCTGTAGCATAAGTTCTATTCCTAGCTTTCATCTTTATAGTCTGTTCACATAAATGAGAATGAAAGTATTTGTGTTATAGCAATGACTTAATACTTTGTATTTCAGAGTTATCAACAATTATCACAAGGTGATCCACCATCTTATATAATCTCTTATGATCCATCAGCTGACCAATCAACCAGATCCTCCTTTAATTTCACCAAAAGCAAAGAATTTAAACACATCCATCATTAGAGTTACAAGTCTTTTGAGTCATTTACTTTCACAGTTCCACAAAAGTACAGCATATAGGCTTTACTAAGAGTTACCAGAGGACCACTATACCTCATCCTCTCCCACTTAGAGGCACCTTGTCCACTCTAACATACTCAGAAACAGTTAGAAAATTACTGTAACAATGTAATTTCTTATAAAATTATTATTCTTCATCAGACACTCTCTATGTCTCTGTCTCTCTCTCTTTTTTCTCTCTCTCTCTCATGATGAAGCAAATATTTTAAAGAGGGTCATAGATCTAAACTATCAATACTTTCTGAACATTTTCATCATCCACAAAATAACTACTCCTCTCATGAAATAACTTGGAAAACAATGTGTAAGTCTGTCTTTGTAACTTGAAGGATCTCAGTCTAACTATGGTTCTCCCCTAGCATTCACAGTTCTGCTCATAAATCTTATAAAACAGAGCGAGAAAAAGTAAACTATAAATGTAGGGCAGGAACAATGACATGGCATGATAAGTATATCAAAATGCCCATGCTGTTTAAAAACACATTAGGATTTAAATTTTCTGCAAATAAAAGCTGTGACCATTCATTACTATTCATAATAATAACAGTGCTATTTAGAAAAGCAGTTAAATCCTGGAGGTTAGCAAAAAAGCTACCTTTTCTTTCAAAAGGAAAAGGTGTCAAGTAGAAAGATTTATAAATAAAGATAAACACTTGTAGAGCTTTGAATTCAGTGATTTTGAAAGGGGGCAAGAGATCAGTTGAGCTGATATATACAAATACACTTTTGGGTGTTATTTCACTGAGTTCCAGTTATACTCACCGCTTCGGTGTGAACAGGATGCACAGCAAAAAGCAGTGCTGTGACAAAAGCAAGTCCACGGTTCTTGAAGACAGTTTTATCACAGGTGTACATCAGCACGAGGGTCACTAAGCAGTGTAAAATCACATTTACTGCATGGAAGTAGAAAGGGTTCATGCCAGTCAAAAATATATTTAGCCTGCAAAAAAATAAAAATAAAAATATAAAAACCTGTATTAGCTATAACACAGCATTGGCACAAGGAAAGCAGGAGGAATCCACCATTTAAGAAGATAAGCTATTCAACTAATTATTTTTAAGTGATTCCCAACATCACATTACTATATATTTGCATACATGCCACTTTTTCCTGTCTCAGAATTGTCCTATCTTCAAAAATCAATACATATATCATTTTTATCATTTTTATATTTTTATTATTTCAGGAAATAATTTTATTTTCTATAATTTCTGAAAACTTTGGTTTCACTTGGAAGAAAGGCAAACAGGTGCTGCGTCTGGTCTTCTCTCACTCCATGGCTCATGGAAACATCCCTCATACTATTACTGATTATTGCTTTTACTGCCAGCTCTTTCTAAGCAGCTGAGGGTTCAAAGACCAGGACAAAGTGCTGGGATAGATCCATAGCCACTGGAGATGAACGGAAGCCACAAGACTGCAACTGTGGTCACAACTGGGACAAACCATGTCCTCTCACCAGGTGCCACCAGGAACCATGTTTCCAGATTCTGCATCTGGAAGTGTTATCTAATGCCCATCCCATAATGGGGCTCTTTAGCACTATGTGCTATACCAACTGCAGCTGAAATAATTTTTAAAAAAAAGGGCAAAAACCATAATACTTCAGAGTTTATATAAAATGTTTTTTAACGATCTCTGAATCTCATTGTTAAGACTTTGACAAAGAAACTAAAAGACCAAAAAGAGAGAAGGGAAATCAGTTGTTCAACATCGTAACAAATAACGACAAGGGACAGAAATACAGAAGAGAGATACAGCTGGGAGGTTGCCTTAAACTTTGTAACAGGATATAATGTCCTCCCCACAACTGAACTTGTGGGGTTATGGGAAAAAAAATACACTGATACAGGGTATGATTCTTTGGGGGAGCATATATACACCAAGTGGTATTGTGATAGTTGTGTAGACTCCATCCCATCTTACCAAAACAATAACCCTGGATCTTCATTCTGGTGCCCTGGTCTGCTTCTCTTAAAGAAGTAACAAAAGAAGTAACTAAGTAACAAAAAATGTAGAAGTCAACTTTAGAGATGCCCTATACACATTCGAAATACTTGGCTGATTCATGCACAGCTTTAACCTACACAATTTTAAACATCTCACTGAATCCAAATGTCATAGTTACTAATCAACACCACTTTCACTCCCACTCTCTCCAAAGTAATCACGGTACAAAACTAACCTAGAAAAATGCATTGTGTGGGACCCAACTCCACAGCATGGCTGCAAGGTTTAACCCAGCTGTGCTGGCAGATCAATGAGCCTGCACATACCCACTGTCCTTGATAACCCATGTGGGGAAAGAGGAATAGGCAGTCAGCTAGGGAACTGGCAGGTCCAGCTAACGCATGAAGAACACAGCATTTTCCAGTACAAAAAGACCCATGTGTGGTGACAAAGTTATGGGAAATCAGAAAGCTCAAGTCAAGAATGCTGTAAAAAGGGCAAGACAGGGCACCATTCTCAGAGACTTGGATGTGAGTCCCTAAGAACCCGTCTACCCCCTGATGTGGATTTCATGCTGTTTTCCAGTCTAAGAAAGCCATTTGTTTGAAATTCACTCACATCAGTGATGATGATGGAAGAAAACAAGCAATCTCCAAATTGGAAGGCCTCTTTAAAAAGTAACATACATTTGGCAGAAAATTCTACTTCTAAAAACTTTCCAAAAGGAAATAAGCAAAAAAATATTCAAATGTTTTATACACACACACACACAGAAGGCATCTCTGCTGGGTATGATGATACATGCCGATAATCCCAGCTACTCAGGAGGGCAGGAGGATTATGAGCTCAAGACCAGCCAGGGCACAGTTAGGGCATCCCTTTTGTTCAGAAGGACTAGAGGCATGGTGCAAGTGGTAGAGCATTTTCCTAGCAAGTGTGAAGCCCTGGGTTCAATCCCAGTACCACCAAAAAAATAAATAAATAAATAAAGAGAAGAGAGAGAGAGAGAGAGAGAGAGAGAGAGGGAGGAGGCAGGGAGAATGCATTTCCTGATGTTGGTTATAAAAATGGCATAGCCTAAAAAATCTAAAAAGATGGAGACTGAATTACCCAAGCTTCAGACAAACTCACTTGAAACAAATACTAACAAAAAATCAGAACAGATCCTGTTTGAGCAAATGGAAAATAATCACAGATTCTGGGAACAAGATGAGTTCATAAAAAGAGAGGGGTTAAGTGATTAACTTTGTAATTTAACAGGTGAGGGGATGTGATAAATGATAAACATCTTTATTTTTAACAAAGGCATTTACCAAAGTATCTTGAACTTTCCCTGCACGCAAGCTTAAGCTGGATTTGCAGCACAGAGTGGTGAATAAAGCAATGGTTTCTTGGACTGAGACCTCCAGCATATGACACACACTCAATTATTAGCTCTGTATCAATATTCCTATCAAAGTCTCAAATGAAACCACAGAGTATATGTTTATTGGGATCACAGAACACCTGTATCTGGGAAAGGGTATGAATGCGCTAAAAGTCTAATTAAGATTCAGAGTTTAAATGACTGAAATTGCAAATTTTAACAGAATTAAATAGTGACAAGAGTAAAGACCCACACTGAGGTGTTAAAACAGGACAAAATACTTACAATCTATATTAAAACTAAACACAATATGGTGCAGGGGTTTTTATTACCCACAACTCACAGGGAACTGCGTAAGTCAAACCATTTTTTCATTTCAATTTACTCCAACAAGATTTATTGAGCAAATAAAGTCAGGAATGAAGCAGGACCCAGAAACACAGAGAGAAGCAAGATAAGTGTTAACAGTATGGTGGGGGCACAGAGGCACTTAAAGTAATAGTCAATGATAGTTGTGGCAATGGAGCAGCCTGCCAGGAGCAGGGATTTGGAAAGGGAAGTAGTCTACCTGTGGGCAGAGGGGCAAGATGGGTGGTATCCCATAAGGGGTACAGACCCCAGAGTGCTCTCAAACACTAGAGCACACCTCCCAGGAGAGCTCCAGGAGGGAATGAGGAGGGTCTCGGAAGTAAGGTCTCAGGAGTGTAGGTTTGAGGAAATGGGGGTGCTCAACCTAGATAGAGATGACAGACAGTTCTCACTGGCACACTTATGGCTCTATCCCTGTGTCTAGCACAATGCCTCATACATGGCTGTCACACAATAAATATTTGTACAAATATTTCCCCATGGGGGAAGAAAAATCCAGTAACAACATCACAAATAGGCTTTTCAAGGGCCAGGTTCAGCCTATAAATTGCTATTTTACCTTTACATTTTTTTAATTTATTGTATTTTAAAAACAGATGCTTTTATATAAAAATTTCCTGTTCACCTTGAAATATCAGAAGACCTGGCAAATCAGGGCTTACATAGCAACATGGAAATATGTGGGTGTCCATTTCAAAAGGACAAATGTTCTCAATTTGCCACGGTCTGCCAATTCATAGCGTGTTCCTGTCCTGAAGCCACTCACATATCATTACCCATACATTATTTTTCTTTTCATAATGAGTAGAGTGGAATGTTTCTTTGACCTATATTACTGTCACAAATGTGAAACAAAAAGACAGTCAAATGACTGCTTGCTTGAAGAAAAAAATGGAAGAAAGTATATTTCTGAAAGAGAAGGCTATCCCTATGTGTCTCATATGCAAAATATTATATGTCAAAGGATAAGTACAACCTCACATCCAGCTCAATTCACTCAGTTACTCTGTCAGCTAACCCTTGCAGCATTTGAGTTTGAACCCTTAATATACAAAGTACTAAGAGGACTTCAGCTCAAAGAAAGAAGTAACAATAAAACAGTGAACGTTTAAATACTTAAAACTAGAAAAAGTGACTGGATGACCAGAAATGTCCGCCCACTTTGTGATGACAGCCCCTGAAGTGCCATCCAAACATGACAGTTCCACGTCAGGCTGAATGTATCTCCAATGTAGTTCAACTGTGGAAAATCTATTGGAGACATTCCTCACAGGTTGTGAGCACTTTTCATAGGATGTAAGAAGCTCGTTTCTCTCCAGCATCCTAACCGTCTCGCTCAGCGTACAATAGATTCTAAAGGAAAATTTACTGAATGAACAAATGAATTCATATTATGTCAGAAGTTGGAAATGACCATCTTTCCTTTTCATCTCTAAGAACTCTCCTTTTATTTGATTTAGACAATCATTCCTCATTTAAAACTAGGCCAAGTAGTAGGAAATAGAACATTTTTTTCTGAAATAATCTTAATAGCCATCTCTGACTGTCTGAAAACTGCATGGTTTGGCGAATATGAACACAAGTCTGTGCTTCTCTGTCTGAACTCCCTCCACTTTCCTGTAAAACCTCAACAGAAAGGTGAGGTTGTGAACTCACAGCAATCAGATTAGCTGTTCTCCAGCAGGGCCACACCCGATCCCAGGAAAGGTCACAGGGCACACTCTGGTACCAAAGGGGAGCAGGGAGAAAGGACCATTAGCTCTGCCTCTTAATTTTCTTCTTTGAAAACAGCTCTGGTTTAGAGAACAGCACACAAGCTGCATTGCAGAGAGACTTACTCTGGGGAATACATGAGGCTCCTTCCTCAGGAGGACTCCAGCTTCACTTAGGTCAAACAGCTCTACCTCCATCAGCTCATGCTGGTCTGGAAACTGGGTGAGCGGTCAGGACTTCCCATTGTGGTGATTCAGTTTGTCCCTGGTCCTGAACCTGGAGTTTCTCCTGGTATAGCCCAAGCAACACTCTGAGAGCTGTCAATGTTCTTCATCCCCAGGGACAACATGAATAACAGCCCACCACCCAGGACGCCTGAAGTCAATCCACTGATCACCACCGCGCCCTGTGCCCATCATGGGAAATGCACCCACCTTGTCTTCAGCATTTAAACTCTGGCACTTGGCCTCCAGTCCTTCAGGATCCCATCACTCACTGAAGTCAGAGAGCCCATCTCAATGGCGCATCCCCTCTGCAACCCACTGACCTACAGGAGCTTTCCTGGGCTAAAGGTGCTCCCTGGACAATGTAATTCTCCACACGTGCACATCAGTGAAGGGAAAGCACCTGTCTCCTTCCAGGAATCTGGGGCAGAGGAGGCAGGCAGGCTGCATGTGATCAGTGCCTCCCAACACTGCTATCTCAGTGAGCCTTAGAGTGCTTCCTCTATACTATGCCAGGGAGATTATTGCATTTCCACCTCACTAAACATAGGCCTCCACTGAGTCTCAGTGGTTCCCAAGCTACAGCTGCTAATTCCCCGATCCTATCCTAAAATATTCCAGAGCAGATCTGTCATCATGCCCCAAGATCTGCCCAAAGCAACCCACATAATTCAAGACAGGTGGTTCTCAGAATAGTGAGACACAGGTTTCAGAGCTTAAGGGAAAGCTGCATGGGTTGGCAAGCTTAACAGAAAAACTCAGTTACTCAACAGTAACACAACACACATTCTTTTCCAATAAGAATTTCAACAAGGAAAAGAACAAGTTAAGTGTACCCTTTATCACTTGCTTCTGGTGTCTTAGATGATGGCTTCTCCAACCCTTTCCTGGTGGGTTTCCACAGCCCAAAACTGATGCACAGCACGGTTCCCCAGTTTTCCTCTGCTGCTCTTCGTCTTTCTTCTTCCTCCCCACCTCTTGCTATCATTACAGCTCTCAAATGCATGAGTGATGTGCATAGTCTTCTTAGATCATTCAACCAATAAACAACAACATCTGGTTCTGCTCCCTTTTCCTCTAAGCAAATCCCTTTGGCCCTCAATCATCTTGGTTGCTCCTCTTCTGCATTCCCTCCAGTACTAGCAATAAATCAGCAAATCATCATCATTTAATGTATCTAAAGCACTAAACGATGTAATTCACAGGCACCAAATGCAAACAGCAGTGCAGAGGGGAGACAGACTGTGAGCAAAAGCAAAATTCAATTTTTTTTTTTTTTTAGCTCAGTACACCACATCCTCTCCTGGCTATAGGAAGCCACCCCACAGGAGGGACAGTAATTGTCATTATTGTCTCATTAGCACTCGGAGGAATGAAGATATTAAAGGAAGGAGAGGAAACTGAGGATGGAAAGATCAGTAACCACACCCACCAGGAAGGCAGCAAGTCCCAGGAGAAAATCCTAAAAAGAGAATCAGCAAATAATTAGAACAGCCCAACACCAAATATCTTAGATGACTGAGATGTCAATTTTTGGAAGTTTTTCCTTTTAAAAGTATGTATTTTGTAAAGTACTTGAAGGCAATTCCCTTCTGACATGGACCATACAACGTTAATAAGGATGTCACAGGTTGAGGGCAAAGTCCTCTACAATATTCCTACACTTTAGATATCAGCCACAAAATTGGGGGTCCTCAAGTCACCTGTACTTCTGACCAACTGGATACAAAATAGGGGCTTTCCACACTTTCTTAAGGTTCCATCGTTCACTGGTATGACCCATAGACTTAAGGAAATCACTATACTTATCATTACAGTTTGATTATAAAGGACACACATCAGGATCAAAGAAGAAGAGCCATGGCATGAGGTCTGGGAGAGCCCGGGACACAAACAGACATCATGTGTCTTCATGACGCATCTCCCTCCCAGCACACCAGTGCATGATTACCTACCAGGGAGGTCCAAGCCAGTGTTGGGGTCCAGCATTTTTACTGGGGCTTCATTAGGTAGGCACAATTGATTGACACTTTGAACTCAATCTCCAGCTCCCTTACCCTCACAGAAGCTCTAATTCTTTAATCAGATGATTGATCTCTGAAGCATGGCAACCTCCATCCTAAAACCATCCAGGGGCTTGCCATGAGTCACCTCTTTCTTCTCATAAATCTAGGTCTGGTAGACCCAGGAGTCTACCAGTCTACCAGTCAAGTGAAATTCCCATCACTTGAGAAACTCCTAGGGTTTAGAAGCTCCCTCCCAGAAACCCAAGAGAAAGACCAGACAAATGACTAGACGACACCAGGGGTTAGTCCCTTTTATGAATAGTTTGAGGTCCTTGTACATCATTTGATCCAACAGAAAATATTTTCTGTCTACCTCAGTGACTGTTAAAAAACAAAAAGCAATTCCTGATAGAAAGCAGGGCACTAGCACAGATAAATTTTAGACCCTCAGAGTATGCTGTAGAGAGAACCACCTGTAATTCTAGGGTTTGCCTCAGAGGTACAGTTACTGTTTCTAGCCTTGAACTGTGCAGCAAACACCCACCAATCTTTATGCTTCAGTGCCACCCAACAGGAGGAAGACCTCCAAGAGTAAAAGATTCTCATTCTCGCCAGTGAGTTACAGACCCAGTAGGTTCCAGTAGGAGGCCATTATCGTCCCTTTCAGAGTCAAAGCTGCCCTCTGTGATCAGTACACAGCCCACGTGGAGTTCTCAGGCTGTACACAAGAAAATTCCCATTCTACCTCCACTTCTTTCTTTGAGAGAGGAAGAAAAAAGGCAAATTAGGAAAGGTACCAAATAGAACTCCCCTCTACACTTTAAGAGTAGCCCTACTTTAATATTTACCTGAAAAGTTCAACATTCATACAAGTGTCTGATACACTAATTTGTTTTTCAAATTAGTGAATTTTAAAATTGACAAAATATTCATTCTTTCAACAGTAATTCTTGAGCCCCTATTTTGCAAGCCAGGGAAAGTTCTAGGTGCTAGAAATACATCTCATGGAGTTCACAACTATAGTGAGGGGGCATTAAAACCATCAACAAAAACCGATTTCAGATAACAATGAGAGATATGAAGGCAAAGTACGGTTTAAGAAAATAGGGGTGAAGCATGGAGGAATGACCAGGTGGCCAGGGAAAGCCTCTGACAAGGAGTGACATTTAGCAGACATCAAAGGCAGATCTGGGAAACAGTACACAGAAGGAGAAACCACAAGTGCAAAGGCCCTTGACAACAACAGATCAGGCCTGTGAAAGAACAAGGGCTCCAGAAAGCTGGGCTGGATGCTCACAGCCTATTACTAGGAGCCAGGGGTCAAACAGGACTTTGCAGAATAGAAACCATATTATTTCATCTGAAAAACAAATACTGCCATTATATTGGACAGTTCAAGTATTCCCTACTCCTATATATGTTATTTTATTTTCTTTTAAGACAGGGTCTCACTATGTAGTCCAGGCTGGCCTCCAACTTGCAATTCTTCTCCCTCAGCCTCCCAAGTGCTGAGATTATAGGAATGCACCACCATATTCAGTCCTTACCTCTCTTTTAAAGTGGAGTAACTACATACTCAAAATCCGGAAAAATGTGAATGTAGCTCCCAAGGAGGACAGAAAAGGCATTTGTTGGTAGACTGCTTCAGAAGGTGATTTCAAGACTTTATTCAGGGGCTCACTTATAAAAAACCCCCATGATCCAAAAATATATTCCTCTCGTTCTTTATCCCTCCTACACTACAGATTGTAGTCTAAACTAATCTTACATCTACAGCATATCCTACCAGTGATAATCACAATCTCCATTTCTGGGGGTTTCTAAGATAATTTTAATTTGGTATAAGGTTTTTAAAGGCTTTTTTTGTTTTCATTTTTCTCTATGAAGTCATTATTGCCTTCAGTCCTATTTTTCCTTGGTATTTCCACCACACAACATGATAGAAAACCTCAACAAGCATCCTCAATTAAATCTACTTGTCTCTATGATAAAAAGAAAACAAATTTATGACCCTGGGAACAAAAGTAATGAATGAAATCCTACAGAGATCAAATCACAAGAAAGACATCTAAAGGAAACATTTCACCATTTCTTCAGGTTTGGGACATGGAGGCTAGTCCCCCTATTTTCATGGTTGGCATAGTGCTTGTGACTAAAACAATCTTTGCAAAAGAAAAAAACCTCTCAAGATCAATACTGCAAATTCTTAACAGGTGCACATATTGAGACATTCTATTTTTCAGCTCTGACATTATAAACCACCTACCTCACTCTTATGGCTTATATTACCATCAGAAGCATTCAGCAAATTAAAACTTTAAAGTAAACTAGGATCTGATAGGCTCAACATGGAAAGAGAACCATGAGTTTAAGGTCCTTTCATTTGCCTGAGCTTCCCCTTCTTTGATACTGAAAAACATTTGTTTGTCTTGTAAATCAGACTTCCACTCATTCACCAAATGGACTGGCACTATTAACAATTCTGTTAGCAGCTACTTCCCAAGAGGAAAGAAAAAAAGGAAGATAAAATTAAAATCTAAGTAACTTTTAAATTAGCCAACGTCATTTTTCAGGAGGAATTCTGGGAGTCATGGTTTGATTCTGTGTCAGTTCAGTATCTACAGAGTAGCTTGCTGCATTCTTCTTGGTTTCAGAGCAACAAACAAGTCATGGCCAGTGAGGATAAAGAAGTGAACTCAAAAAATGGAAACTGCTACAGATTAAGTTTTCACACATGTTTTGATTCTGCTCTACTCTGGTCTAAAAATATTCCTGCATGCCCTTCGACATGATCTTATGAAAAGACCAAATAAGAAATTTATCAGCAATAGAAATTCTTCAGAATGCTATATTTACTTCAAGGAACAAAACAAGATGACCATTTGTACACTTAGGGTTTGACCAGAAAAGCAGAAGCACCAGGAGCAATTCAGGGGCAGAGATTACTTAGAAGGATTTCACCATTCTCAATGGTGAGAGTTAAACCACCTATTAAGCATGATGCTTCTGGGTGTGTAACAGAAGATGAAGCCAGCAGGCAGCCACTCTGGAATGCTGAAAGCAGGGAAATAAAGGACACACTGGAACCCACCAGTACACTAGAATAAACGTCTGTTTCTCACTTCCTGCCAGGCCCAATCACAGTGATGTGAGTAGCTTGCAAAAGGCTGGCTCTCTCCCCTTGCCATGCTGTATACACACATGCACCAGGATTGCCAGCAGCCCAAGGAGGAGTTCAGGAGAGCCCTGGAGGAGCTACAGCCTTGGCTACTGCTACCAAAAGGCAAGCACTTCAGTGGCAGTCAGCATGAGGTCCTGCCGCATCAGAACTACACCATGACCAGTTCACTTCCACCTCACAGGAATGTCTCCTTGTGGCCAGCTCT